CAGTTCGACCGTCGATTCCGACGATGTCCACCGTATGCCCCACAGACTGCATTGTGGAGTAGGGACGGTGACTTGCACAGGGGTTTATAGTGCCAGTAGACTTGCGCTGCATCTACCTACGCTCTCTCCTCCTCCCCCGCCTGTGCCCGGTGTCAAGACAGAGTCAAGAAGACCGGAGACGATTGAGGCCGCAGGTGGATGTCTCGGACGGATCCTCAGCTTGGCGTTCCACCACACCCCCTGGTCCACACAACAATTACCAGGATTTCAACCGGCACAAGAGAGATTTGGCGGCTGGAACGGCCGAAGCCGCACCTAGGCGTGCCGCCAACGCCTGGGTCGGATCCCACACTGTGATGGGAATGCCATAAAGGCCACATTAAAAAGGAGCCATTGCAGCCTGACTCTCAGGCCGCCTCTCGTTAAGGAGGAGGTCCAAGTTACCCCGTCAGTTGGCAACCTTCTGAGCCACGGCTTTTAGCGCACCGTGATAGCTTCAAGCGCGTCAGATTGTTTATAGTGAGGAGAAAGTGCGCTGAGTCGTCGACCTCACTCTCCCTTCCCACTCCCACACCCCAGCCGCTGTCCGAGCCTGTCAGCAGACTGGAGTGGGGAATGGGCGCGGTGGCTGACATGGTCGACTGACCATGCCTGCGCGCGCCACAGCACGACCTGGCCCCCCATACACACACAAACACCAGGATTTCACACAAGGGGGTAGAACGGCGTCACTCTCACTTGCGTGATAGGGCCGTGGAAGGCGCTGCTTCAGCCCATCCCCAGCCCACCAGTCCGCCACTACACACAACACACACAGAACGTGACGAACTGCGTGAACCGAGAGCGGGCCTCAATCAGCAACCTTCCTATCCACGACACTTGAAGTGTCGGGATAGTCTCGGACTCAAATCACCCGTACAGCCGAAGCCGCATGGGGAGCGAGTGGAGATGCACACTTCCCACTTTCGTGGAAGGTGGCAGTTGGTGCATACGGTGGGTAAGTGTTGATGTGTGTTGGTGATGGTGGAGGAGGGTAGGGAGTGTGTGGATGTGTGGTGTAACCGGCGGTTCTCTACCGCAGGTCGTCGTGGATGCGCATGTGGCCGAATAGACCCACGCGATGCGTGAAGGTGCGAGGGCAGTGCGGGCAGTGGAGGCGAGTGCGGTGGGTGTAGGTTGGTGCTCCAGGCACTGGTTCGCCAGTCTCTGTGCGATGGATTCGCAAGTGACCGACCAGGCCGATGTTTGAAGTGAAGGTGCGGTCACAGTGAGGGCAGGTGTAATCCTGATCCTCATCACTGGAATCGGGAGAGGTGGGAGAGGTGATGTCGGTTGTTGTGTTAGTGTTGGTGATGTGTGAGACGGCAGTCTGAACGGCCGCCGCTGGGGCAGTGGAGGAGAAGGAGGAGGATCGAAGTGGTGGTGAAGGAGGAGTGTCAGAGTTAGTTGGCGGAAGATAGGACGAGGAGGAGGCGGGCGGGGGCACGATGGCTGGGGCAGTTCGAGAGGTGCAGTTGATCCGAAGATGTCCAACAAGTCCGATTCGTGCCCGGAATGTCCGGTGGCATCGAGGACACGTAGGGAGAGGTTGTGCGGCGGCGTTGCGGACTGGGCGAAGTTGTGATTTGCGGGCTGCGCGTTTCACTTTGGCGGCTGCGATGCGGTTGGCTTCGTAGATAGCAGCGCCCGTCTTCACTGTTCTCCTCCATGTCGGGCGATCGCGAGCGAGCTCTTCCAGTTGGTCGGGTTGATTTGCAGGCGCTTCAGGGAGGACTTCAGAGTATCCTTGTAACAGCGAATCTGGCCTCCTTGACGACGAGAACCCGTCGCGACGTCTCCGTAGAAGAGTCGTTTGGGTAGTCGCTCGTCATCCATGCGCACCAGGTGGCCGCTCCAGCTCAGCTGCATTTGTCTCAGTATGGCGTAGATGCTGAGGATTCCCGTTCGTTCCAGTACTTCCGTGTCGGGGATTCGATCCTGCCAGTTCAGCCTCAGGATGCGGCGGAGACAACTGAGGTGGAAGTGGTTTAGTCGACGTGCCTGCCTCGTGTATACCGTCCAGGTCTCCGCTCCGTACAGTAGCGTCGGCAGGATGACGGCCTTGTACATCTTCAGCTTTGTGCTCAGTTGGAGACCGTGGCGATTCCAAACTGTGCTTTGGAGGCGACCGAAGTCTTGACTGGCTTTCGAGATCCTGTTGACGACTTCGTCATCAATCTTGGTGTTGCGGGAGAGGGTACTGCCCAGATACGGGAAGTACTCTACCACTTGCTGTTGAGTCCCATTCACGTTGATTTGCGGCGCGTTGGGGGCTGTGGCTGAGTTGGGAGGCGGCTGATGCATCACCACCGTCTTCTGCGTGTTGATAACCAGCCCAAAGTTCTCGCAGGCGGCGGAGAATAGGTCCATGCTCCGTTGCATCTCCGCTTCGGAGGTGGTGTTCAGGGCGCAGTCGTCGGCGAAGAGGAGTTCGTGCACGGTGGCTGTGGATACACGCGATTGGAAGTTCATGCGCCGGTGATTCAGGAGATGCCCGTCCGTTCTGTAGGCCATGCGGATCCCGGGGCGTTCGTCGCGGTAGGCGTCCATCAGCATGGTAGAGAACATGAGACTGAAGAGGGTAGGCGCCAGCACACAGCCCTGCTTCACTCCGTTGGTCACTGCGAATGCCTCTGAGACAGCTCCGTTGTCCGTGACTCGCGCCATCATACCGTCGTGCAGCTGACGCACCATCTGAGTGAATCGCTCCGGACAGCCGAATTTCTGCATGATCTTCCACAGTCCTTCACGATTCACCGTGTCGAAGGCTTTCGTCAGGTCCACGAAGGTAGAGTACAGGTGGGTCCGCATCTCCTGGCACTTCTCCTGAAGTTGGCGGGCGGCGAAGATCATATCCGTGGTCCCACGATGACGACGGAAGCCGCACTGGCTTTCCGGCAGAAGGCCCTGTTCCAGGTGGTTATTGAGGCGGTTGAGAAGGATGCGAGCGAAGATCTTCCCGGCGATGTTCAGTAGGGAGATGCCGCGGTGGTTGTCGCAGACTTGGTGATTCCCTTTTCGCTTGTATAGGTGTATAGGTGTTGGCGGGGAGCGCGACCGAGGACGGCGAGCGCCGTCGATTGGACTGTGTCACGCAGTTGACACCAGCGGTTCTCCACGGAGGCGTTCTCGGCAGCGGCGGCGGCGGCGGCGTCGTCGGCGGCGGCGTCGTCGGCGGCGGCGTCGTCGGCGGCGGCAGCGATAGGAAGGTTGTCTAGCCGTTGAGCTAGCTCATTGCTGAAATGGAGACGGTGATCAGGCAAAGACAACAAAGCAACATTCAGCCTTCCTGGGGGTCGCTTACCTTGAGGTCTCCTGCGAGGCTGTAGGTGAATACGCATCTTCGAGATGACGAGGCGATGGTCGGTCCACCCGTCAGCAGCTGCGATCGCCTTCGTCACCAGCACGTCCCTCTGATTTCGCCTCCGGACGAGAACATAGTCCAGCAGGTGCCACTGACGCGACCGAGGATGCCTCCAGGTGGCCTTCTCTCGCTCCGGCAGACAGAAGAATGTGTTCGTCAGGATGAGGCGGTGTTCTGCGCAGGTGCGGAGGAGCAGCAGGCCGTTGTCGTTGGAGCCGCTGAGACCGTGAGGACCCAGCACTCCCCTCCAGGCAGTATGGTCTGTGCCGACGCGGGCGTTGAAGTCTCCAAGGACAATCAACTTGTCCGCCTTCGACACAGTCGCCAAGAGAGCGTGCAGGTCCTTGTAGAACTTGTCTCTTGCGGCGGCGTCGGGGCTGCTCATCGGCGGAGCGTAGGCGCTGATGATTGTGGCGAATTTGCCCCCGCCCCGCAGAGGCAGACGGAGGCTCATCAGGCGATCGTTGGTACCCTGCGGCAAACAGGGTAGTCGTCCCACGATGTCGTTCCGGATGGCGAAGGCGACACCCGCGTCTCGTCGCTCTGCCTTGGGTCGACCACTCCAGAAGAAGGTGTAGCCGGCACCCACCTCCTCCAGTTGGCCTTGGTCGGAGAATCGGGTCTCGCTGAGTGCGGCGATGTCCACCTTGTAGCGCGCCAGTTCCCGGGCCACTAGCGCCGTCCTCCGTTCCGGTCGGTTGCTCCTCGGATTGTCTAAAAGGGAACGAACATTCCAGGCTGCCAGAGTGAGCGGGCTCACCCTGCCAGTCTGGCGACTGCGGCGGTGAAAAGTAGGAGTAGGAGACGAAGAAGAAGAATAGGCTGGAAGAGAAACAGAGTGATTGTTGTTGTTGTTGTTGTTGTTTCGGTTTTGGCTGTTTCGACCGTGTGTTTTTTGTCTGCGGCCACGGCCAGCCTACAGACAGCGTGGTTCCCAGCGATCTTTAGGGCACCTTTTCTAGCCCCCTCCCCCTCGCGGGGGCAGGCAACGCATCCCTGAACAGGGCTGCCCGGTTATCCCAGGCGGCTGCCGGACTCCACTATGGGCCACGACTTTTCGTTAGTGAGAGAACGACCCGAATTAGCCTGGGACCTTGGTGGTGAGGTGATGATGTGATGGAGTGAAGTAGGAGAGAGCATACACACTACCTAACGCTATGGGACTTAAAACTGGAGTGGACAAGCGGACACAGTCACCAGTCAGAGACAAAGTGAGGGCACCACACAAAGTCAGGCACCGTACACCTAGCTATTAGTAGAGAGTGGTATAGACTGACGGACAGACAATCGCAGCAGGAATCGTGGGTGTCGTTTAGCTATTAACAGACAGACTAGCATATAAAGGGCAGGCAGCAAGCGCAGCGTACGACGCGGAACTTCAACAAACAAAAGGAAGAAACAAAGCAAGCGCACCTACCTGAGGGGAAACTTACCTGGTGGCCGCCTACGATGGTCCAGGCAGAACCTCGTCTCGACGATGTCGACGCGAAGATCCATCCGGCCAGCGCGGACCGCAGTACCGCGCGTGCAGGTGCACGCACGGATACCCTCACCTGGTTTAGCCCGCCGGTCGAGACGGTTGCCCGGGGTGTGGCCGCTGAGCAGAGCCCAGCTACGTGGAGCCACAGGTGAGAGTTAGGTGCCAGCAAATGGACGCTAGGCGTAGTCTCACCTGCAAACAAGTGAGCGACCACTACGACCATCACGTGGACCCACCGCTGACACCCCTACACCCCAATTTTTGTCACACGAGGAGGTCGAATAATTTTCATCATGCTCTCACCCTGAGGAGTTCGTGTAGGTTTCGAGGACCAAGTCTACGTTTATGTACATAGTGAACATGTGTTAGATGCGGTCCATGGGGCTCATTTCAGTTTTCCTACCTCAATGTCGACGAACGATGGTGGTCGTGACAAATAAGGCTATCAGGTACCCTGTCCTGGAAACCGTGTTTTTTTATTCTCCTATCCCACTCATCCCCCGTCGACCCAATCCGGGAAAGGAAAAACAAACAAACAAACAAACAAGCGCGTTGGTCGCAAATTGAAGCCTACGCTCGGGACCCTCCGCAGTCGACAGTTCATCCACGCACACTTTGTATGTGCAGACCTGACACCTGACCGCCCTCAGTGCACCCCACGTTATTNCCACGAGGAAGGACATGTGTATTGTTAAATCATTGGTTTAAATGTGCAGCTTCATAGCGTTGCCATTCCCCTGCCGCCAAATGCCACCTCTGTCTTGCCCCACCGGTTGGGATAATGCATAGGCGACCGAATGACAAATGCTTGTCCGCACTGCCTGGTCGGTCCCTCATTCCCCCACCCGCACCCCCGCTACCCCACCCCTGAGCCGGTCTATACTGCATGGGTAACCTCCTCTGCTGTTGCCGTCAGTTGCCTGTGCTAGGGCTACTGCTGTGTTGTACTCTTACGGGCAAACAAAGAGGTGGGCTGAGGTACGCAGGAGTTGTCCGGCATGCCAGTAGCATCCATTAGCGGCACAGAAGTGGGGAGGGGGGAGTGGGTGGTCGGAGGAGGAGTGGAGAAGGGGGGAAGGGGAAGCGCTCAGTTCTAACAGCAGCAGGAGGGGTTGCAGGGGGTCTAATGCGATGATCGGCTGTTGCAGACGCAGACAGATTAGCGTGGGTGTGCGTACTCTTGGACATCAGTCGGAATTTTGGGGGTTAGTTGGTTCAAGGTCGCATACCACGGTCGCGGCCCCGGATTTTGCGGAAGGTTGCCAACTTATGGATGAATTAGTGCAGTGGCATGACGCAAAGTTCAGAGCAAGGTCTGACCAAGAGTAGACGTCAGCAAATTGCGCCTAGTCGGAGTAAGATCATGTTGTGCCTGCGTCAGCGTTACATAATGTTAGGAAGAGTAGGATCAGGAAGTAGGAGGAAGGAAATGACAAAGAGAAGGAGGAGGAGGAGGAGGAGGAGAAGAAGATGCTACCGTCCAACCGGCCGCCAATATGCCTCTATAGGACGGGATTTTATGTTGGCGTGAAGTATTCATGGCCACTTTCGGCCTAAGCAAATTTGAATATTGTAGGATTGTAGTAGTAGTCGTAGTATTAGTAGTAGTAGTAGTAGTAGTGGTAGTAGTATTATTAGTAGTAATATTAGTAGTAGTAGTAATATTAGTAGTATTAGGACTAGTGGCAGTGGTATTGGTGGTAGAAATAGTAGAAAATATTAGTATTATTATTATTACTTGTAGAAGTATTGGTTGTAGTATTAGTAGTATTAGTAGTAGTAGTAGTAGTAGTAGTAGTATTAGTAGTAGTAGTAGTAGTAGTACTAGTGGTAGTAGTAGTTGCAGTAGTGACTTCTAAACCAACATGTCGCGAGTTCAATGCTCGGGTGTTCCACACTTCGGCCTTGCGTATGGCTGGCTGACGACGGCTAATAAGCCAGAAATGGCCATTACAGTCTCCCTTGTCTTTGTCGGTAATATAATTCTGCCGGTAGTGGTAGTGGCAGTGGTACTGGTAGTGTTAGTAGTATTAGTTGTAATAGTATTAATACATTCACCGTCGTTATCTTTATGTGCTTCTGTCCGATGTCAAGCCTTGTCTTACGCTTATTTCCTGCAACATGTAGTCGCCTTGTTCCTACTCCTCAAAATAATGATAGTACACTTGGGCTGCGACAAGCGCACACTCTTCCTTTCCCCATCTGGACCCGATGCCAAGACAGCAAACGTAAATTCCACAGATGGGAAAGAACACACAAGGGGATCTTGTAATGAAGGTACATCAAGAGGAACCGCGGGCGGCTGAACGAAGAACGAAAACTTTTCCGCCAAAATTCAGATCTCTCGTAGGCATATGAAAATGTGTCTATGCAGCTCCACACTTGGGGATTCGGGACCAGGTCGCATTGTGTCTCGCTTCATCCAGCACCTACCGCGCTCTCTCCTCCTCCTCCTCCTCCTCCTCCTCCTCCTCCTCCTCCTCCCCCACCTGGATCCGATGTCAAAACACAGTCAAGACATCAGGAGGTGTATTAGGGAGCAGGTGGATGGCACAGTCGAGCTGGCACCTTGGCGCTCCTATCCACAAATCCTGGTCCACACAGCAAATCAAAAGGTTTTTTGACCAACAACAACAACAACAACAACAACAACAACAACAACAACAACAACAACAACAACAAGGTGATGGCCGGTGGCGTGCTTGATGCCGCACACCCAAAATGCGTGCATTTTATATGGTGCACAAACGGATACCGACTGCCAGAATCCAATATGGCCCAGGGGGATGGTTCAGCGCATCTAACACCTGACCAGTTTGGGGGGGGAGGAGGGGGGCAAAAGCAATCAACCAACCAATGAAAGTGATGTGAGGTGGGTCTATACGAGACACTCTTCCGTTCGACCTTCAGGTCAACTGCGTCTCCCAGAAGGGCTGCCTATGAATGCAGGATTACTAGCAAGGGGTTTCGGTCCTGGTCTGCGTCTCACTCACACATGACACTGCAGAA